TCACTTGGGGCCAAAGTGTGATAAGCTGTAGAAGTCAAGCTTGGAGATTAAAGGTGTGTTTTCTTGGCAAATAACCTTACTCGTTTGTCAGTTGGATTCACGTTATTTGTTCCCTTTCTCCCACTCGTGGGTTGCCTTTCGTGTTGTTTAGTGCCTTTGCATGTGGGAGGCTCACCTTCCTCTGGGGCTCCTGCTCCTCTGGGGCTCCTGCTCCTCTGGGCTTTTCCTCTTCTGCTCCAGTGACCTGAGCTGGTGAGTGTGGAGCTGAGCAGGGAGGCACAGCTGGGGTGCTCTGAGGTGCTGAGCATCCATCAGGCTTGGAGGAGGATGTGTCAGAGCATTAATTTAGAGCTGTTAGAGGAAGAGCTGTGTGAGAATTCCCCCACCTGGCTGAGCTGCTCCAGAAGGCTGAAAAAGCTCTGGATTTGATCTGTGTGAGCAGTCTTCCAGTCTGAAGTGGGTACAGGCCTGCATGCATGGTTTACCTCTCTGGTGATTCAACATAGACAAACTCTGTTCAACAAGGGGTTTTGACTTGCCAAGTAGGCTGAAATAACCACAGAAGGTTGATTTTTATCTTTGTTTTTTAATTATTTTTTTTTCTGTACAATTGGGGTAATTTTGCTGTGACCTTTGTTTGAGGCTGATGTCAGTAAATATAACACGTCAAACTCATTTAATGCTGTATTTGCTTCTTTTTAAGTTCCCTTGTGTCATCACTGTATCATCTACCATTATCTAGATGTGGGGCCTTAAGCTCATGCATTGTTCCTTGCTGCAGTTCAAGGCACTGTGCACATTGGTGCTGTACTTGGGTTTTCATCATCTGGTGTTGCTTCTTTTGAACAGCCTTTCCCACATGCTAGAATTGACACAGGAAGACTTCCTTATTTTTAGCACAATGTGTATATAGAGGGTATTTTATTGAATTCTGACTAGTTCATAGATTTGAGGAGGACTGAAACCAGTACGTGCTCTTTGATGAAAGCTCTCGTGTGTTGGGGTTCAATGCAGTGCTTCCTGGGAGTAGGAAGGTGTGTGTGTTCATTTACCTGTTTAAATGTGCTGTAAAGGATCCTTCCTGTCCGTCACTGTGCTGCTTCCTTTGTGACAGGAAGGCTAGCTGACAAGAAAAACAGTTAATTTAACTGAAAGGAGTAAGAGTTCTAACCAAATTTTGGTGCATGCCAGTTTATAAAATGAGAACACAGCTTAAATTTGTTCCATCCAGTACAGTAGGCAAAGGTTAAAGCACTCACTTGATTAAAATGAGTTCTTGGAAAGGAGGCAGAAGAAGCTGTTAAATGGAGTCTCATGTTACCAGCTGGTTTGAATGTTCTTCTAGGAACGCACAGAGGAGCTTCCTGGATCAGCCTGTTCATTGTGCAGGCAGTGTGTGAGTGCTTTCAAACTCACAGCGTGTGGTTGGCTTTTGTTTCAGGTGTACTTGAAGGCACCGATGATTCTCAATGGTGTCTGTGTGATCTGGAAAGGCTGGATAGACCTACAGAGACTGGATGGGATGGGCTGCCTGGAATTTGATGAAGAGAGAGCACAGGTAAGACAGCCTGCCTCGGGTACTGTGCCTCAGACACTTGTTCTTCTGGGAGGAAACACACAGTCAGGTAGTGATCACAAATTCTAACTTGCTTTTTTTTCTACCTTCACTCTGAGTACAAACTCCAAAGGAAACTTATGGTATAGAAGTTCAGAAATATGTGGTCAAATATTAGGGGTGGGGATCACTTGTAGTTTACAGCCACACTGTTACTGTGCTACAGAGTAGTAAATCAAAGTGTTTGAAAAACTATGCATGTATCTTGTAACAATTTGATTGGCAAGTCTATTCTAGCTGGGTTTTTTAGGGTGATAGAGGTTTTTTTAAGTAGCTTTTTGTTTTATTTCATGTGGGTGAGAATGAAGAGTGGTTTTATTTGTCCCCTAACACTGGTGGACTCTCTGCTCTGTTAAGGTGTGGCAGCCTTTGAGAACTTACCTGCCCACTTCCTACCAGCAAAATTCCTGTCTAGCAGCTGAATCTTTGGACATGTACAAGAACAAAGTCAAGACAGAGGAAATGCCTTTTAAAGTGGATGTCACCTAGACAAGGTTCACTTACACAGTAGGATTCTTTAACTTGGTCAGACTTGAGACATGTCTTTGCTTTTGAAATGTGGTTTGGTAACAAATCCACTCAACTGATATTAAAAGCTGCTGCACCAGGTTTGTTGTGGGCTTCCATGCAGGTCACCTGTCTGTGTATTGGACAGTAAGTTGGATGGAGTAACATCAGTTACCAGAGTTATGACTTGCAGTCTATATTTTGGGATGAACTCAGCCCTGTGGGGGGTTACTCCTGGCAGTTGTGCCCTGGATTTAAATAAGGATGCATTTTCTATTTCCACTCTCTGCCTCATTCTCAGCCCTCACTTCTGTGGGGTTTCCTTTTCAGTCCTTCTACAGCTGCAGTTGGTCACTACATCATGAGTAGGAGCCCCTTGGTTCCACCAAAATACCAAGAAGTTTCCTCCATTGTGGTGCCTCACCTCTTCCTAACTTAAGAAACCAATTTGCACATTAATTAGATGTTCTTAATATGACTGTGTTCTGGATTAAATAGAAATGCTTTGTGTCAGAAGAGTGTCTTAGAAGCAGTCACAGCCCTGCATGCTTTCTTCATGATGCCTAGAAAGAGAGAATAGTCCTGCCACCTTTTGACAATGCACAAGAAAAGCCACAAGCCAAGCTTTTACTCAAAATCCACTCTTTGCTGTGCATTCACTTCTTGCAAAGCTGTGTGTTGATGTTCTGAGCTCAGCTCCAGTTGCAACAGTCAGTGCCCTGGACTCCCTGGAGCAGGAGGCCTTTGGGCTGCACTGGCTTACACAGCCAGGGCAAGTGGAGAGCCCTGAGGACTGTGCAGGACAAACCCCAAGGTTCTTGATCTACAGTTAGTAAGTTTGATACATAACACTGAATTACAGGACTCCTGAACTGAGAGCAGACTGATGGGAACATGCACTCAGAAGGAGACAGTGTCACTGCTTTCTAAATTTTTTCCTCAAAAAGACAAGCACCCTTCCAAAGAGGAGAGTGCTCAGGTGACCTGTGGTTCAATTTTTCTCTTCTTAATTTCACAATAAATATTTTTGCAAGTGCTTAAGCTATTTTAGTTTCTTGATGTGTAAATGCTGTGTTAACAACACTTCACAACTCGTTTTTGCTGTCTCCAGGAAGTGTTTGTGCCCTGGAGCTGTGGTTTGTGCTCTGTCTGTGTGTGAGGGGATGTGTGTGTGCTCCCAGGTGTCAGTGCTGCCTCTGACACTCCCCTGTGAGTACAGGGTGCTGAGCTGGAGGTATTGCCCTGTGTGGGTGTGTTTGCACTCAGTTACAGGCGTGTAATTTGTGTTCAGTTTGTGCTTCCTGGCAATTGTGAGCTCATCCTTGGTCACCTCATTTGCTACAGCAGTAGTACCCAAGGGCTCCTGGTGCCATGAGGAACTGTACAGGCACAGAAGGAGCTGCACCCTTACATCTGTTAGTATTGGAAACATTTGGGCAATCTTTCACAGTCTTAAGTTTCCTTTTTCCTGTATCTGTCACTCTGCTTCCTTGTTTAAAACTGTGGTAATATTGCTAGAGGCCGTTGACCCAACTGCTGACATTCAGCCCAAAATAACACTGATGTCACATTGGGCTGAAGTGCCTCCTACTCTGCACTGTGGGGCCTGTGGTACCCACTGTCCCTTGTAAGAAAAGGTCCTGCTGGTGTTCAAACACACCCATTTTCTGGAAGGCTTGCCTTGTACAGAAGTAGTGCTCTCGCATTTTCCTGTCTCTTGCCACTTCTTTACTAACTAATGCTGAGATCAGATAAAACTCTTTGCTGTCACACTTCAGAAATGATACTGTCCTTCAGCAGGTCAGCAGATATTTTAGGAGGAAAATCCACATGCATAACACTGAAGTACTTTAGTTGTAACTGTTAACCTACTGTTTTCTACTTAATCCTCAGCCTGTTCATGTCTGGTTACTGAGCACTTCTACTTTTTATTGCTAAAGGCCCTGATTCTGCTGCTTGTTCAGCCTTTGATGCACTCACACACAGATGTACATATACCCTTGAATATCTTCCCTGTTTGGGGCTGAAATTTCCCTGGATTTGATATTTGAGTGTCCTTAAGAGACTGTTTCTGTCTCCAGCAGTTTTGCATCTCCTCTGTAGTAGAGCATCCTGTTATCTCACCAAACCTTTTCCTACCAGGCTGCTCTGGGGGTTGTGTGTATAAGTGGGGGGGTGTAAGCTTCTGTCTTGGTTCTTTTTTTAATTTTCTGGATTGGGAGGTTTGTTTTCATTCTGTTGTGGTGTTGATACAGCTCATGTTTTGCTTATTCTTTTTTTTCTTACTAGATTCTTACCAGGGGCGTTTCTGTGGAATAAAACTAAGATGTATAAATTGTTTGGTCTCATACAGCTGCATTCACTAGGCTGTGATTCCTAGAATCGAGTGACATTTTTAAAAGTGTTTGTTAAATTCCCGTTGTATAAGATTGAGACATTGGTTAATTTGTTAGAATGTATCACCAAGAGTAGAGCAGAATTTTAAATTTTTTTTTTTACTCAAAAAAAGAAAGTTCTGATGCTTTTTTCTTCTGCTTTCTCAGACATTAGTAAACCAGTGTTTCAGCTGTCAGCACATCTTCATCCTGCATGTCAACATACTGATTTTTTCCCCCCATAAATTTCTAATTTGGCTTCTTGGTTATGACCATTTCTTTAAAATATTCTGGCTGAGGCTGTGTGTCATCCTTTCAGTCCGTGACCACTGTAAATGATGGCAAAATGCAAAAACCTTTGATGATAAAAGAATCTGCTTCTATTTAAGTCTGTTTAAGAAAAGGGTAATAAAGACATAACTCTCTTCTGTAAACCAGGAGGCAGCTTTCCTGTAGTCATCTGGGAGATGAGCTTATCTGTTTTCTCTCTCTCCTTCTGCATTATTAAGAACAAACTTACTTTCTGCTGTCTGACCTTGATTGCTGTGCCTTGGATGAACATTAAGATACCTATAAAGGGCCAAATTCTACTCTTAAAAATAGCAGGTAGTGTGCAAATGTTGTTGGCAGCTTTAAGCCTTGCCTTGCTCCGTGGCTTTCCTGGGAGCTGAGCAGTGGATTGGCAGCTGTTTGTGTTCCCTGCCCCGGGCCCGAGGGAGCCCCTTCCCATCACTTCCCAGAGCAGCTCCAGGGCCCTGCACTGTGCCCACGGCAAAAAAGGCAATTTAAGGTTTTCTGGGGCTGGGCTTGCTCTGTCTGAAATTAAAAAATTGATGTGCTCAATCCCCTGGTAGGTGAACACTTAGCTGGGCTCTCTGCAGGTTTGTGTCCTCCAGCAGCCAAGGTTGGTTTCTCTTAGAATGATCAGCTTTGAAATAACGTCTGTGTGTGGGAATGGTGAGCAGGGTCGGGGTGATTCCAGCTGGAGAGCCAGGGGAGGGAGAACCAACACAGTTTGTCCTTTACTGTTTTGTGGAACCTCTTTAGACTCGACTCTTCCATTCTGAAAATGTAAAAATTCTGATGGGGAACAGAAAATATGTGTTAAAAGACCTCTTCAAGAGAAATAACTTCTAAGCCAATTAATAATGGCTTTACATACTAATAAGAGTTTATTTAAAACATTTTTTTAATAGAAGATACAGTTTGAAGGATTTTTTTATCTGAGTGTTAAGTTATTAAATCTATTCCTGTGCATAAGCCATTGTTGAAAATAAACTACAGAGCTGTTGAAAAGCTGCAGGTTTCTCCTCCAGTGTATGGGAATGTGTGCTAATTAGTGGAGGAATAATCTCTGCTTTGCACTTTCTTATGCACCTAAATTTAAATAATAAGGATTTATTAAATTTAAATAATAAAGATTTATTATTATAGAATTTAATTTATAAATGTATGTATTTATAAATTATAAATATATAATATATGGATTATAAATTAATATAATTATATAAATTTAAAACATAAGGATTAAGAATGTTCATACTGATGCACCTGCAGCAGCTTTTGATAAAATGAAGGATTTATTTGATTTGTAACTTAGATAATACTTTTTTTTAAATGCAAGAGAATTACATTACCATTGTTTATGTAGTGATGCTAGTGGACTCTGACTAGCTATACCTGTGAATACTGCCTTCAAAATTACTTTTAGAAGGAGAATAAGATGTATTGCCTTTTTCATACAACTTCTGAGAATTCCTAGCTTTTTCAAAGAACAGCAGCATATAAACTACTTTGTAAAAGCAGCTCTCCCTTGAAAATGTCTTTTAACCAGAGCTGCCCCAGCCCTGGTTGTCCCTGCTGCTGCAGTGAAGGTGAGTGTTGTTTCACTGACCTGGGCTGGCGTTTGCTGGAGCTCGTCTGTTCTGGCAGGTTCTGTGGGACATTCTGGACTTTGCTGCCGAGTGATCCTTACTGTGCACAGAGCTGTGATGTGGGAGAAGTGAGGGTTGCCTTTTGTGTCACTCTGTGTCCTCTGCTTTGGTAGCAGGAGGATGCTCTGGCACAACAAGCCTTCGAGGAGGCTCGGCGGAGAACCCGCGAGTTCGAGGACAGAGACAGGTCCCATCGGGAGGAAATGGAGGTGAGGGTTTCACAGCTGCTGTCAGTAACTGGTTAGTACTTTCCCAAACCTTTAGATTGTTTCCATTTGTTTGTCTGTTTGTACAATGTTGTGTATTTTCTGTTTGTTCAATGCCATCATATAAAAATTGCAAAATGCATTGGTTTTAACTCTTGTAAAAATGGATTTAAAGTTTTTATAAGAATTCTCCGATCTTTATCCTTTTTTCCTTTCTGTAGATGGCCTTTTCTATGGGTACTTAAGCTGTAAGGACATATTTATTCACAGAGTTCCATTTCTCTCTCAAATGATACTTTAATAGCAGGGAGAGGGATCTTTTGCCCTGTGCATTTCTCATGAACACAGAAAAGGCTTTGGGAGCTGTGGGCATAATTTTGGATCGCACTATCCCACGTTGTGGGAAACATTATCAGTGTATTTAATCAGATGCCACAGTCTGCTTTCTTGCACAGGCTAGTTCTATTGTCCTCTCACCTTCTTCTTGCTGGCAGGGAGCCTTGCTCCTCTCTTTCACTGGTGTAGTTCCCCCTGTGTTGTTCTTTGCTTCTTCAGGGCCCCACAGTATTGAATCTTGTTCTTTCTTGATGAGAGCAGAAATCACTGAGCAGAAAAGAGGAGCCAGGAAAGGGAATGGAAACCAGCTGCTCTGAGATGTCAGAAAGGCAGGAGCTGTAAGAGGACGAGTAATAATGCATGAGGGGAGTTGGCAAGTTAAGGCAGAGAATAGGGAGAACACAGAAATGCTCTGAATTTCTCTCCCTTACTAGTGCTGTTTCTTACTTCCTGCTTCATCAGTGCAGCCTGGCTTTGCTATAATCCAATGTGATCAATCTGCTGGTGCTCCGGGTTTTAGAAAATTTGATTATTGTTATTGCTAAGCTACTTTTCTTTTGGCATCCCTTCTGATAATTGGGATGATGAGACAGACTTTCTTCCCTTCCAAGTACAATTGGAAGATGCTGAGCATGAGAATGAGAGGGAACAGGCAGACAGAGAACAGTCTCTCACTTTGCAGGGGTGGCTGGAGGGTGTCTCCTTGCAAACACCGCTGCAGCCAGGTCAGGGATCTGCTGGAACAAGGGTCAAATCCTTGCCTTTGAAGCCTGGCTGCTGCTGGATCCTGGGAGCAACAGCTGGATTAGCTGAGTGATTCTGTCACAGCACAGCTGGAACCTGCCTGGGGGCTCAGTTCAGAAGGAAGGTAGAATTAGCTTTAGGTCTGTGGCACCTGCTCTAATTTTAACAACACAGAGTAGGAACTTTAGGTCTGGCCTTATGTCTTTGACCTCAATTTAAAGCTTTTCTTGATTTATTTTCCTTTACTGTGTCCTTCATCCCCACTCCTGTCACTGCAGAGAAGCAGCTGTGTGCATACTGAATGCTGAAGGTTCAAAATGAATGAGGCTTCATGAAATAACTTCTGCAGTTCTGAGAGACTTAATTTTTCCTCTGAGTGTAGAAAACACTTCCTTACAGCTAAGCTGTGCAAAAAAACTCTTTCAGTTAACAGTGAGATTGAGGTAATACTGAGCATCTGGGGTTTCATGACAGACATCAAAACTCCTGACACTGAGACACAAAAAGCACCATCCCTGGCTGTCTGCAGGAGCTGGATTCAATAACTACTGAAAAGACTCTTGCTCTTAATAAGGCAGCAGGCAGTTGTCATTAGGTGATGTCCTTATTAGCTATTAGTACCCATTTTCTCTTAAAACAACAATAGTTGTTGTCCTAGCTCTAAAGCACTGGTGTAATCACCTACAGAAAGGAAGAAAAGGAAAAGTTACTGATTTGAAATATGTTTAATCAGAATAAAAACAATGTCAAAAGGTGCATCAAATTTATGTGATGGCAAATACAGATTTTTAATAATTGCAATACATTTTTGTTCATATTTTGCTATTTATTTTACTGTACATGTTTAATATGTGTAACCAAGAGATTTTTACCTCAAATGTAGGTCTATAATTGGTTTTCACATTTCAGTTTTCATTTGTGTGTTTGGGGTAAGATGTTCTGACTGTGTCCCTGGAATGTTTACAGATGAGCTTTTGCAATCTAGATCTTAGGACTGCATAAAAATTGGGCTCTTCTGGGTGGGACAGGGGAGAGAGCAGAGACAGACTTACAGTGCATTCCTAAACAGGAACCAGGTTTCCAAACCAGTCACTGCTTCCTTGACTTCCACTCTGATGCAGCAGCTGGGCAGAGTCAGCTTGGAAATAGGGTTTGTCAGTGGTACCTGCTGACCCTGCACTGCTGGCAGCTGGAAAAACCCCGATCCAGCCTGCCCTGGGTACTGCCTGTGCACTTCAAAAGGTCAAACAACATCTTTGGTTGTACTACAGAGATGATACTGGAAGGGTTTTTTATAGAAAAGGTCAGTTCTAAGAGTGCTGAGTGAATTTTTGTGGATGTTCTGCTACACACATGAAGGTACTGCCCTCATAATCTCTTTAATATGATCTCCACACAGCTCTCAGCATCACTAAAACTTGAGATTTTTCTTTCCTTCTAAGCTTGGCACAGACAGCAAAACTCAGAACTGGCAGCCATGGAGCAGGATCTCATCAGTGTTAATGATGGTTTTAGGAATTGCAACACTGTATAAAATCAGGATATTCCTGACAGTAGAATTACAGCCAAAATGCCTTTAATAGAGACCAGATTCTGCTTCAGTGGGGGAGGGAAGGGGAATCCTGCAATATTCCACCCACTCCTACCCAAAACAGAGGCGCCAGCTCTTTGGAAACATTTATCCATCCAAAGCCTGGCAGCATATGAAAATGATCAGATTAAATTCTTTATTTATACAGCTTTCTGGGTAAAAAGGATTCCCTGTTCTAAGTCTCTTTGTAGACTTAAAGTGGTATATCCTTGCACAGGAGTGATCAGTGATAAGTTGTTGAAAGGAGTTAAAGTGTATCATATGTGGCAATTGGACACATTGAAAGGGGAAAAATAGGAAGTGTGGTAACAATTTAGAAATTATTGCTTTATTAATTTTCATTTTTAACTATCCTAAAAATACCCCAACCAATTAAAAAAAAAAATCCCCACCAACAAAAAACCTTCAGAGTGCTGTCAAGTTTGTTTGCCCTCTTTTCTTCAAATACTTCCATTCATGACCACATTAGCACACCAGATCTTTATTTGAATGACATATTCTTTGCATCTGAGAACAGAATCTGAGGTAGGTTGTGCATGAATTTCCAATGGTGATTGTGTTTTTGTGCACTCCTCTAATGTAAATAGGGTGTGAGTGGATTTAGGAATTTTCATTGAAGTTTTTAAGCACCTCTGAGTTGAACTGTGTTCTGTTACATTTTTAACATAGTTTGTTTTGAATACAGGATGCTTTTGAGTTTTTGTATCAACTTGTGTAGCTTGGTTGCATCAGATACTGCAAATCCTGCCTCGCTGTTCAGGATTCCTTTGTTTCAAAGATGCTTTTGAAGTCAGTGAGTGTTCTTAGTGCCTTCAAAATTAATAATGTATTCTAATGGCTTTTACTTCTACAAAAACATTGGAATGCTGAGACAGTGAATGTTTAATGATACACACAAAGAAAGACTTTGTCCCTGGTTAAAGATTATTGTAAAAAAAAAAAATGAAATAAATGATGGAAGCTCATTAAGTTTAGGAACACTGAGCTGCTTGTCAGACTTGGACTATTTAGTGGCTTCACACCAGTCAAAGGCAAAGTTCTCTTTCCATGAGCAAGTGCTACACCTGGGAAACGTGGTCTAAGGCTGTTACTTTAGGGGTGTGTTCTGGAACAGGAATATGAACTTGAAGTGTTTGTGCCCCCTTTAGCAAACTAACTGAAGAGAGTGAGGAGACTAAAGGGACGTTGGTGAGGCAGGTATTTAATTTTCACTGTGTCTTCATCTCCTTGTGTCTTGGTTGAGAGAGTCAGTCAGTAGGAGCATCTGTGCTGTTTGGTTTCACTCTGAGTGCCCAGGGCTCAGGGGCAGGAGAGGTTTTCTGCAGAAATTCCTGCCAAGTCACCGTCTAGAAACGCTTCAATCTTCCGGTAAAAACCTCTGCTTGTTCTTCAGTCTTCTGGCCCCAGTAACGTGATGCAAGAACGTGTTCCACTGTCCTGGGTGGCTGGGAGAGACTCAAACAGCTCCTCCTGGTGAGATCAGAACCTGCCCAAAGCGAGGGCCTGTGCTCAGTGCAGAGGAGCCACGGGCAGGTGCCTCCTCCAGCTCCTGCTGGAGCAATGGCACAGAGGGGGATTTTCAGGGATGGGAGATGAGAGGGGGCTCTCTGGGGTGTTGCTGCACACAGGTCAGGGTGTTTTGGGAAGGTTTGTTTTGTACAGGCACTCTGTAATTTCGGACCTGAAGTGGTCTGAGGTTGCAGTTTGTCTGACTGTGTCACTGGAGCTCAGCTAAGGACGCTCCCACTGCTCTACCTGGGGAGGGGCTGGATCTGTTCTCAGCCTTCCAATGTCATTTCTGCAGCCACTGTTTTTGAAATGTCATATTTTTCTACTTTGTGTTCATTTCCTATGTTACTGCCATGCTCTTTGTTTTAGCAACACTGTGAGTAAAGAAGCAGTGGTTTGCTTGTCCCTGAGACAGTCTAGTCTAGCAATCTGTCTGTTTGTGGTCTTGTGCTAAATATAAATTACATTAATGCCTAAGCAGAACCATTTTGGGAAACTGCATGAAATTCCCATTTTAAAAACCTTCATTTTGCTGAAAAAAAACCCCTGGTTTGAAACCTTTGTTTCTTCCAGTAGCAATCCTTCTCAATGCAAAGCACCAAAAAACCCCCACCAACCCCAGCCTTTAAAAACTGCTGGAGAAAAATTTATCTGCATTTTAAATGCTGAGTCCTGCCCTAGGTTTTTACACGTTTTTGTTGTTTGTCAGGAATGTTTTCATTTAATTGTGCTGAAGTCCTGAACTCTTAAAAAGCAAACAGGATTTTGCTACAGAAATGTAAACACTTTACAGTTGAAAGAAAATCAAGTAGTAGGACAGACT